ATCCCAGGTAAACAACATCCCTTTGTGAAAAGTGACTCAGATTGCATCTACACCGGAGAAAAATTTTGCAATATACATAGGTGAATAAGAAGAGATAGAGGGGTCCCGATATGTTGTCTCACCTCTCCCTTTAAGTTTTGAGTGGGAAAACCGAGTATGATTGTTGATGACCCATTCTTAGCTTTAGATATTAGAATTCCCATAAGCTAACTTATTTTTTTAACGTCGGCACTAATATGTGAGCACGAGTCTTTCAAACTATTGTAACATATGCACACAAGTCGTATATTCATATTTCGAAATTTTCTGCTGTAAAGTGTTCTGTGCGGTGCAATTTATACAGTTACACACTTTGTTAAAATTTCTAGCGCCGTATTTTTCTAGTTTGCTGATATCTGGCATTTATTAAAAATTTACATGTCTTACACTAATAAACTGCTTTCTAGACAGTCACTACAAATAAGCTATCTTTTTTTTTCAAACGAAGATGTAAGTTTCATTCAAGAAGACCCGGAGTAGCATTTTTATAGTGTGAAAGAATGATCGGGCTATACCAGATGTGAAGAGTGTTTTCCGTTTAGGTTCCGATAATTGAAAGATCACCGATATGAGTGACATACAATGCAAAATACTTGTATTTATTTATTTTATTTATTTATTATACCTTCAGGGTTTTCACATTACAGAGGGGAGGGGCATGTTACATGTCAAAAATGGGAAACAACACTTGATAACTATATACAAGAATGAAATTTCAATAATTGGCAGAATAATACAGAACTACGTTCTATATAAACTACGCCAACAAAGACAACGTAGCAGTAGCGATAATTCAGGTAGTACATGTTCAAGAACTAAGCAAAGAACAATAAACAATCCCAAAAACAACAAAAAACAAAAAGGACATGACACACACACACACACACACACACACACACACACACACACACACACACACATATATATATATATATATATATATATATATATATATATATATAACCTAAAGCAGAAATCAAGTAGCGCCAAACATGCTTTGTAAAAAACCTTAAAACGTGATGTGTCGATGATTGCGGTAGCTGATCGTAGGATCGAGTAGATTCCATTGAGATGTAGTTCTTGGAATAAAAGCGTGCAAATGGGTTTTCGTTCTGCATTGAGGAACATGAACTTTTTGTCGATGATCGATTTTGGGTGATATGAATGACGGGGGTTCAACGAAATGTTCGCGAAGGATATTGTTATGATAATAAAGCTTATGAAAGAGACTTAGCTGGGCTATTTTACGCCGAATGGCGAGTTCAGGAAGGTTGAGCTGAGATTTAATTAGTGTAACCCTGGCCGTGCGGGTATAATTGGACAAGATAAAGCAAACTGAACGACTCTGAACTGCTTCCAATTCATGTGTTAGTGTAGTGCAACCAGGATCCCAGAAGGATGATGCGTATTCGAGTGATGGACGAATGTAGGTACTGTAAAGAAGCTTCTTAAGGGATGAAGGTGCCATGTAGAAGTTTCTGCGAAAATACCCGAGTTTACGGTTAGCTTTGGCGATGATGTACTTCAGATGATGGTTCCATGTCAGGTTATTTGAAATATGAACACCTAGATATTTGTAAGATATTGTGGGTACAATAAAGAAGTTACAAACAAGATGATTAAAGCGCGCGGTCCGTGCCCGCACATGACTGTCTTGGTCCCATATTTTTTTACGGCTGTGTCAAATGACTTTGCCAAATGACACTGAAGTTATTTTCTCGCCGATTTCGATTAATAACGCTCTGTTCAGGTATGCTACGCACGCAATACTGATGTCAAGCGTGTCATTCTTTTTTCTTTCTTTCTTGAGGTTACCCCATGGTGGTGGAAGAAAAACTTTATATTTTACTGAATAGGCATCCAGGCATATATTATATTCTAAGCCGAAAAGAACTGAAGAGGGGCATGCATTTGGTCCTTTAGGGAACTAAATGCGCTGCCACAGATTTTGAAACAATTTGGACTAACTGCGGGAGCAACTGCAAGGGTTCAAGTGTTACCCCCTAGCACTTACCCCACTTGGTTTAAATGTTGGTTCTCGTAGAATACTTCAGTGGAACTAACAGTTGAAGCGTCTGGACGAATGCAAAAAAAAAAAAAAAAAAAATGGCGACCCTGCACATGTGGAGTATACTTTATGTTTATCACAATTAAATCAGCACGAAAAAACGCAGTATATTCGTAATCCAACATCGACACATATCTACACATATACGAACTATTATTTCAAAGTAACATACCGCAAACACTGACCGCCTGCGCTACACTGCGCGGAACGAAATACCGGATATACATAGCGCAGTATATTTACCTCCTATGTAGTGCCGGTGGGCGGCGTATGCCAGCTTGAAAAAAAAAACACAATAACTTTTGACGCCATAACGTTAAAACTTACGTGGGCTAATTTATAGCACCGAAGCGCAGCGATCTTTTAAAATGGATCCATTTAATCTTCAACATCCCTTTAGTTCGAGAATGCGAGCTATCAGCTGGCATTCGATCATGTCGGCCGAACCAGCATTCGCAGTGCTGGTACACGAGTCCGCAAACACAAACACAGTAGCGGCGCTTATGCAGGAAAGCCGGGGAAGCAGTCAGGCGTCCCGCCGATGTCACCGTGTCGGCTGGCCGACGGCGTCGCTATAGGCTTACGAGGAGTACGGCTAAACGACCACCGGCGATCGGAACATGTGGCTCGTGTGGAATTTTCGTCGTCGTTCTAGGTTAGGTAGTGTATTGGTATGCGATCTGTGGTTGTTGAAGCGTATTAGGAACGATGTTTATGTTTGGCCAATATATTGTTCTTAATTGGCAGACGGCGCATTCGAGCATGTATATAACGCTAGAGCTATCGTAATTACAGGAGCCGCGAATTTTAAGGGAGAAGTTTGACGACTTACTAACGGCGTCCTGGATGGTTTGCATATGTAGACAAACCTTGCAGCGTGGTCTGTTGCAAAGCGCACAACCAGGTGTGTTGGGTTCGTTAAATTTTGACGTTGTTAGCGCACGGAGATTGTTCGAGCGCTGGCAAACTAGGTGAGCTAGTTCAGGAAATATGTTTTGCAGACGCTCACTTTGGGCAAGGATGTTGTGGTGGAGTTTGAGTATAGAAAGAACCTTTGGCACTGATGCTGAGTAAGTTAATATGCGATTAGTGCTAGCGCGGTGTTCAGGCAAACGATCACCGCTACGAATGTCGGCTCTATATTCAATTGGTCTTCTCGGTCTATAGCGTCATCGAACAAGTCCACCGGATACCGTCATTAATCAGAGCGTTTTTAAGTTGCTCGCAGTTAGATAAGAAATCTTCGCGGTCGGGACACAATCACTTAAAACGGCGAGCCTGACTATAAGCTATATACCTCTCTTACAATGTCGCACATGACTGCTCTGGAAATGGAGAAGCTGGTTGCTATGTGAGTAGGTTTGCGGTATAATTTTGTGAGCAGTTTTCCATCGGAATGCGCGACAGTGACATCCAGACAGTTAACAGAATTTATCGAATAACTGTACGAAAGCTTGATTGACGGATAGAACTTATTGAATCTATCTATAAATTTTAAAAGCGTATCCTCCCCATACGTCCAAATTAAGAATATATAATTTATAAACCGTCTACAAAACATAGATGCTGCAGGTCAGTGCTGAACAGATGATTTTTCTCTAGAATGCCCATGAATATGTTAGCATAAGTAAAGAGCCTATTCGGGTCTTCATTGACATGACGCTGATCTGAACGTAATGAAAATTATTATATTTCAAGCAATTATTACCTTGAGATCACTATATATATATATATATATATATATATATATATATATATATATATATATATATATATATATATATATATATATATATATATATATATATATATATATGAAACATTAGCGTACCCTCCTTCCCTCCGCTACAATATTCGCTGACGCGGCCATTACGAGTTAAATTTCGTGACGGTAGCTTGCTAGCTGAAGTGCATTGATTGATTGATTTGTGACGTTTAACGTCCCAAAACCACCATATGGTTATGAGAGACGCCGTAGTGGAGGGCTCCGCAAATTTTGACCACCTTGGCTTCTTTAACGTGCACCCAAATCTGAGTACACGGACCTACAACATCTCCGCCTCCATCGGAAATGCAGCCGCCACAGCCGAGATTGGATCCCACGACCTGCGGGTCAGCAGCCGAGTACCTTAGCCGCTAGACCACTGTGGCGGGGCCTACCTGAAGTGTGTCTGCAACCACTGTCCTAAACACTGGTGCTATTAAACGGGTTACATTAGAGAAGTAGTGATCGCGTATTTACTGAATTACCTGAATAACTTCAACTTACATCAGTCTGATTCCAAGGAAATAATTACACAGATGGAATGTGTAAGTAGGTCCCCGATTCATTAATAGGAATTTGTGACTTCAGTATTAGAAAAGGTTTGGAAACATTCGTTTGCTTGTCCATGCCTTCAGTTTGTCCCCCTGGGTAACTTGGTGCCTTTGAAAAATAGAAATGGAAATAAAAAAATCTACGCCATCCTTTATTGTTTTTTCTCTTTCTCCCTATCTCCATGCTTTCTTTTTTTCCGTCGAACTAATTAATACGGCAGGGAACAGTCAATATGTGTAGTGTTCGAAATGAATCTAGCCCTACAATACAGCGAAGTTTCTTAGTGCTGGCTGTATTGTCGGCAAAATAGATATTGGACGAAATGCAGTGCTAGTCCTGACCATGGTGTAAAAATACTTTTATTTTTCACACCGTCGTCCTGACTGAAGCTTGCTTTGGCGGGCGCACCAGCTAGTACGGATACCGAAACCGTAACTTGCTTCTCCACGCTCATCGGCTAGATTTGGCCATAGAGAATCTGTTTCTCGGTCGCGCGCGACCAAACTTTCTTGCACACGTCTGGCAACACGTGAGCAACGGTATGGTGCCTAGCAACGGTAAACGCGGTCGGTTGTCTTCCAAGGCAGAGAGGGCTGGAGAGGGCCTCTAACAGGTGTCTTTTAGAGGCGCCACTTCTATTCACAATGACAAGCATAGAGGCATTTAACTTTGAACTAGTAAAGCAGTACTTAATAGACAAAGGAGGCAAAGTTACAAACCCGGAACTCGTGAAACACTTCAGGCATTACCTGAACGACCCTGTTCACAAAGGTAAGCAAACTTAGGCTGCTGCCATTATCGGACGTTTCTATCTGCCGTATTTCCGTGAGGCCAACCCGTGTGCGAATATTATTGATAAGGCATTACGTATTTCGCGACTCTTTAAGTACAGTCTCTAACAAATGACGTTAAAGGCGGAGAAACAATCGTGATGTGCCAGATTGCACCGTTGTGTTGTCATTGCTCGGCGATCTCGGCAATCCGTGATACGAACTTGTTCTCTTACAGATAGCATCCGACGGAAGTTCAAGGACTTCATCAATAGGCTCGCGTGTGTGAAAGAAGAAAATGTGAGTAAATTCAAGACGTTTTACTTCAAATCGTCTGAGGAAATCGACGATGGGCAGTGTATTTTGGTCCTTGACCCCCTAACCGTAATTACCGTCCTAAAGGAAACTCCACGTATGGGACGTTTTAAATACGAGTTTGTTTTGAGGTGAGCTCCTCGATTTTCGTTAGATCTGTCTCGTAGCCGAGCTACCATGGCTTAGAGAAACTGCGGTGTGCTGTCGTGGTATCAAACGTTAATGAGCAACTCTCCTGTGCCTACGATAACATGGAAATTGCAGTAGACACATTCGGTTCTGAATTATTGCTGGTGGTGCGTGCTATTTATAGTATCACTTTGTTTGCAGCAAAGCATCCCAAGAAGTATCTCGTAAACACTATACTTTCCTTCCTGCGGCCCCGCTCCCATTATTGTTGCTGAATGTGTGCACGTAGTTCTGGATAGCTGCATAACGTCATTTGTGAGCCACTTTCATTAGTTTGGTGGCTATTTGAATTAGTGTGATTTAAGGAAACTGTACTTTTTTCGGGTTTGCAGCTAGTACTGCCATGATAAATAATGTGGTACCGACTCAAGCGGTATTGTGCCTGTTTAAGGAAGGAAGGCACACCTTGCCGAAGGAAGGCATTAGATTGGGATTGAGTGCTTGAATATATGGGCATAATGATATATGCTTACCTTGCTGAACATTTGTCGTCGTTCTGTTAAGTGTAAACTAGTGGATCGTGCTTCTAATATAAAGGCTGGAAGCATTTCATATGACTATATTAAGTTTGCTGTCTGCAAAAAAATTACTACGACATTTGAAAAGTTTTCTCCAAGGCCCCCATGTGGCCATTTTTTGTTTTCTCATTATGATGTTTCAAGTGGAGAACACAATAATTACTTTACTGAGTACACACAACTGGCTAAATGCAAATAAGTGTGCTATAGTGGTAGGCACAGCTCAAAATTGACAAAGAGGAAAAAGACGGACAAAACTGAAAAGAGGGCCTGAGCATCCATGTGTGTTGTCGGCACTCTTCTTACTCTCTTTTGTCTTTTTCCTCAGTGGATCTTATGCTGTGAATACCACCATAACGTTGCATGAGTAACTTTTCCAGGCTTCCATGCTTGTACATAAACCCGTGATTTAAGCTTGCTTGCCCAGTGAACTCAGGAATGCATTTTTTTCCCTCTACTCTCACAAGCAGTTCGATGGGTTTAATATTTGCTACGGTTATGTTTACTGGTACCCACAGAATCGAGGGAACTATGGGCATATTGTTGTGAACATGGTGTTAAGTTTTTTTTTTTAAATGTGTAATGAGATGACTTCTTACGTGATGTTTCAAGGTCCATGAGTTTGTTTTCACTGGTTATGTTCTGAAAGGTAGCACCATGATTTGGATAGCAGGTTCAAAAGGAGCAGTTGAAAACAGATCTTCACTGCTTCTTCTTTAAAAAGGTGTTCAACTTGTTAGAAGACGGCTTTCATACACTAGTTGTTGCGTGTTTCCATTAGAGGTGTATTGTTGACCTTTTGTAGGGTTGGCACTTAGCATTGCTAACAAGAGAGAAGCAGAGAAAAATAGAGGAAGGCTTGAAGTGACAAGTAGTCACTTCCCCCAAATTAATGGGGAATGTCACTGGATTTAAATGTTTTGACAAGGAGGTTTGGCTTCCTGGCAAAGACAAGCTCTCTTGTCGGAAATGTTGGCTCAGGAATTACCTGCTCAGCAGTCTTTTATCACTTGTCTTTGAAACCATTTATGGACGATCATGTCATGTGCAACAATATTCACTTGTCATTTCTCTTTGTCAAACTAAGCTATTCATTATTTTACAGCTTGTTCTCGTCCTTGTATATATTGAATATGTAAATTTAGGGGACATATTGATTCACGATATTCATTTGCATTTTGTAGTATATTAAAGGAATTTTCGAATGCTTTCAGCACTTACTAATTGCTTTCATACACCTTTGAAACTGCTGTCTGAATTTCTGATGTATCCAGTTGCTTTGATTGTGATGCAACATTATAATGCCATCTATTGGGGCAGGTTCATGTTTTCTGAAAGAATGGATAATTGATTAACATTTTAAAAGAGTAGATCTTCCAATTATTATTTTTCTTTTTTGTGTATTTGAATGAGTTTTTTGTGGCGTTTTTACAGGGAACCAAATTTCTCATACTTCGCAATGAGTACCTTGAAGAACTTCATAACAGCAGGCATGACCTGTCACTTCCATCGTACCCATCTATAGAAGAAACCGACAATTGTAGTGGATTAATGTCTCAGGACCAACCTAGAGAGTACTCATCACCTCCACCAGGCCACACTGCGCAGCAACCACAATGGAGGCATTACTCTCCGGACTGTCCGAGAGCTGCAAGTGAATACCCTCCTCGTTCTCCGATCGGTGTTAGCCGTATCCACTCAAGCCCCTGCCTGTTAGTTGACGACAACTGCTATGAAGATGTTCCACCTCCGTTACCGCAAAAAAAACACTCTATTGGTGGAAGCCCAAAAAGGCCTGACATGCCCCTGCCACCTCCAAGGGGCCGAAAAAATCATGGCCGTCGCGGTTCGCAAGTGGAGGAAAGAGTACGGCAATTCAGCGTCGAGAAGGAGCTTGAGGTAAGTGCACTTTTCATGTTGGGGCTTCTGGGAAAAAAATATATTTCAGTGCAGTTCGATTTTATGTTGAAAAAACTCCGCACATTCTATGATGCCTCCGTGAAAATGTGAAAGATTAGTGAAATATTGAATTTCTATAGGAATTTCGCTGTACATTTATGTTCGAGCTCAATTTGTTGAGAGCTCTTGTACTGCTTTTTGCCACCATGGTGGCAAAGGGGCTGCCGAACTTGGCTACTGACTCAAAAGTTGCTGGTTTGATCTCAGTCGCACTTTGATGAAATCCAAATGCTAAAAGCTTGCATACTGTGTAATATCAGCGTACTATTGAAGAACCCTAGGTGGTCCAAATTTCCAGAACCCTCCACTACTGGGTGCTACGTAAGCACATAAAGGCTTGGGCTCGTAAAATTGCAGATATTATTACTGCTTGTTATTTAGCAAGTTGCTCATTATATGACAGTGAAACACTTGTAAAAAACAGACTTATGAAAAACACAAGACAAGGCGCTACAAGCAGCTGAAAATTTCATTTCAAACAAAACTTTCAGTTGCTAATTATGCCGTATCCAGTGGTTCTCAAAAGTCTTCCTTTTTTCTAGTGCTTCACCGTCATGAATGTACACCAACATGCCCAACTGGCAGTCGTTCTAATTGCTTATGATGTAATTACAAGCTTTATAGTACAGAACTTCTTGCACAAAAGACAAAACACGACAGGCACAAGAGCTTGTGCCTGTCATATTTCTTTGCCCTTTTTGTAAGACGTTCTGCATTATAAAACGTGTAGTTATAAAATAACAACTAGCTTGAAACAACGCCTTGCCCATCGCAGTCCACTGCAATGAGTGCAAGCAAATGGAATAAGGACAGCAAGGTAAAAAATTCTACTAGTCCTTTCTTATTTATTGTGGGGAATCTGAAGCCAGTTTCACATGCAAGCGACCATACAGCATGTGGTTGTGGCGATGTAACGACATTGCAATATGCAGACAGAGCTTCATGTCACATGCACTGCTCTTGCAAGATGCCCACCGCTGCGATGCACAGTTTTGGTCGGCAAGCACATAATACCTGCTGCTCCAGATCCACAGCTTGACCACACCCATGTGCTGTGCTCATTGTGTCACTGCTCACGGAAGCCCCGCAATAGATGAGATGTTCTGCCACCCACGATTTTTCCAACCATTGTGATATAAAATGCAGCAGCATCATCTACTGCTAAAAAAAAGAGGTTGTTGAGGAAAGTGGTGTGAGATTGGGCTTGTTGGTATTCCATTATTAAACTGCTCAGTGCAAAAATTTAGACAATGCACACAGAAACGTCGAGAACCAGAATAGACTTTCAACGAATTCATTATTGTTAAGACACACATGTATATAGGTTACAAAAAAAAAGGTTAGATCACATGCTTATCCAAGAACACAAGCCAAACAAAACTTGAGAGGCTGCAAGAAACAAAGTGATCGCTCTGGCACACCACGTGCTGAAGAATTCAAGTACGCCAATTCTTGATTTGAAGCATTCAAATGAATCGAGGCATTCATTTGCTGGAGCATGACTTCACTAGTTTGAATTCAGCAATTTGCTGAAGTTTTGATTTACGGTACCGTATGTTGGTAGACATTAAGTTAACAAATGTGTCCATGGTATTCCACAATGCAATTTTAAATGGTAACTCTTTTGGTAATTGATTAGTCAGTTCGAGATTGTCGTCACCAACTGAGACTGCAGATGACTTGCGCTGACTCAACGGAAGCAATATACTCATGGTGGGAAGCCATGTTTGGGACCTCATCGAAATGCTTGTATGATGGTTCTCTCGATATTCTGGTGCAGTGGCCAATAGACCTTTAGCAAAATCTTCTGCCATCTAGCAGCCACTTTTCACAATTCTGTCATGTTGAAGGCGGGGTGCTTTCCACATGTGCACCCTGGGAGCATATGTTTCAATGTGTGGCGAGATATTTTCATGTGGCGCGACACTCAGGTTGAGGAAATCGGGATGCTAAAAAAAAATCTTTGCAGGAAACTGACTTATTAGATTTCCTGGCGGCCTACGAGAAGCAGCAGAACGTTTCGTTGCTCTGCCTGCTGCTTACGACTGATGTTTACAATCGCAATTTTTAATAGATGCGGTGTGCTACACTATCGGCGCTCATTAGAAAAAACTCTTTCGTGTCATGCCGGAACGAAACCGTTTTCGCGCCATGTGCCTGCAGGCACAGACAAACCGGCTGCCTGTATAAGCTTCAAAGCTGCATCGATCTCTGCTGCTAGGGCAAGCCTGTGCTGCTGTTGACACCATTATTGGGTTTATTGCGCTGTGACAACAACTGATGGCTGACAGCTAATTGTATGTGTAATTGATTCTCAGCTAACGAACCAATTTGGCTGGAACCAGTGGCATAACTCGGGAGGGGGGCGGGGCGCACGCAATTGATCCAAATTGGGGCCTGGGCAGGTAAGCGTGGTCGAGTGTCATTTTGCACTCTGTATTCTATGGCAGAAAAGAAAAACAATGGGGGCTGGGGGGAGTACGGGCTTTGTCTGCTACTCCTGTCTACACCATTGACTGGAGCATGATTGTACTTTTTCGGTTGAAGAGTTTAATAGGTAGCCCTTGGTCGGATGCATTGCACACAAATTGTCTTACTATGCATATTTTTCAAGGACTTCATGTGCTATCACTGCTAATAAATTCAGAGGGGGGGCCCAGATGTCCTCACTGCACCCCCTTGCTTTCTTTTCATTTAAATGTCAAGAAGAGCACAGATCAGCTGCTCACTGAAGCTGACCCCCCATCCTTTTTGAAAAGTCCCCCATTCATACCTGTAAGTTATGAAATGGTAGCAGGTGCTTGTGTGTGGCACGCTTTGTATGAAAGTTGTAAGATTTAAGAAAGGCTGTTCCAACAGATGCATGTTACATTCAACCATGGGTGCACTATCACTGGTTACGTGCTGAGGTAGTTTTTCAAGCGCTCATTTAGCCTCCCAAAACTGTCTTGCTAGATTGGGTTGAATTGTAAGGCATCGGAGGCCCCGAAAGCGCCGATGGGAACACGAATATTGTTAGCATATCGTGTTAATCATAAACACGTTGCAGAAGGATATTCATAAAAATAGCAATTAATCGGCACCTGCTTCTTAAAGCAGCTGACACTTTTCATGTTAGTTTTTCACATGTGTGAGAGGCAGAAATATTTTACATCTTAATTGTGCAATAATTAGTATGTACATAACATGCGTCGATGACTACAGTGAACTATTTTTTATTTCCATATAATAAATAGAGGAAAAGTCGCTAAATATTTAATGCATTATACATCTGGTCGACCTATGTAGACTGCCCCTTATGAAATACACTTTGAAATGGATGCGCAGCACTTTTCATCGCGTGTCTCGCCATGTCTCACGCTAAAGCCTCCTATACCAACCACATTCTACACTACACTCATGATATTCAAATAGCTATCAACGCTTTATTTCCTATAATTCCTGGCTGCATTTTCGATGGAGGTGGAAATGTTGCAGGCCGGTGTGCTCAGATTTGGGTGCACGTTAAAGAACCCCAAGTGGTCGAAATTTCCGGAGCCGTTCACTGCGGCGTCTATTATAATCATATGGTGGTTTTGGGACGTTGAACCATACAAATCAAATCATTAAATCAGAGATGCTCTTGTGCCCAGATCGGACACTCTCAAAGCAGATACAAGCAAGAAGCTACAGAAGCGGCAGCAATAAGATTAGTACACAAGCATCCAACATGGTGCGAAATCGGTAGCTTCATCAAACCTCCGACAAATAACAGTGATTTTGCATAAGGTCTATAAAATTTAAGTTGTGCCTTTATCACATTGAAGGAGGTAAACCGTAGCAGTAAATATGCTGTGCTAATGTGTTGTTGCTAAATAGTTAAGTAGTATATGAGTACAATAGGAAGATGCATCCGTGATCCTATTTTCAAGCTATCAGTCAGAAATGGTCCACCAGGAGTGACTGGAGGCAAGCATTCCTGCGGAAAGTGTACATATTTCAGATGGGCCCTAGAGGGGCATGTCTTATGACTTATCGTTTCAGCAGTAAATGAGGGCAACCCTGAAAGTAATGATGTGGAGTGCTAGTAAAGTGGCAGCTGTAACACGTTATTTTTAAAATCTATGTGTGCGCTATAAACTGCGACTGACAGGGATGTCCAAATACATAAATTTTTAGTTTTTATGATCTTGCATTAATTTTCTTCTCAGAATTGATGCTTCATTTATTATGCTGAATGATTATTGAAGTTTTTTTCAAGTGAGTATAAAATACAAGACTGTGCAAATATATCATAATTTCACCAATAGAAATATAACACTAAGCACAATTTTTTAACTTACATAAAATTATTGTGACTCAACAAAAAGTATGAGTACCACATGGCACAGTTATCGTCATAGCAGATACACTACAACAATCTGCATTCAGGATTTTGAGGTTAGGGCACTCTGCTGCTAAGCCATGTTTATACTTGCTTGCTTACTTCTTTGCCACTATTGGGCTGCATTCTGATGGGTTTGGTTGACAAGCTTGTTTACATGCGTGTTCAAACGGAAGTTCCTATATGAATAAGGACCTCAACTACTGTATCTGTAGTAAGCAGCTTCAATGCTTTGTTATACACATTATGCTCGATCAATTGTTAAACAATACAAATTTAATTAATGCTGATGCAGCTGATAATTTTTTGGCATGTATAATTGTAGCGTTAATCTATGAACAACTTTCAAAGTAAACATGCTGGTCAATTCGTGTCCTTTTCCCCTCATGGCTTTTCTGCTTTTATCTTTTTATCGAGGGCTATGATACTAAAAATTTTCTGTTATGTTTTATGTCTTTATATATTCTGCCTATTCAATGGCATAGAACTGGGATGAGGGTGACAGTAAGCTGTCATTAAGGAGCCTGTTTGTAGAATGGTTGAGCAGAGGCAACAAATATGCATTTGACAGCTTGAA